ATTGATTTTTGATTTTTATGATTTAGTTATTGATTGAATTCTTTTGGTTTATATTTAGTTATTGATTTTTATGATTTAGTTATTGATTGTATTATTTGATTTTTATGATTAGTTATTTTTATGATTTAGTTATTGCTCTTGATTTTAGTTATTGATCATATTCTTTTGGTTTATCTATGATTTATCTATTGTATTCTTTTGGTTTATCTATTGTTTATAGTTAGTTTATTTATTGCTTTTGATTTTGTCCTATTCAAATTTGTTATAATTTATTAAAAAAATAGATAATATACTTAAGATACACTTAAGATTAACTAGTTTTGTATGATTTATTAAAAATAAAATAGATAATATACTAATACATATAATCATGAGTTCTTAATGGTAAACATATTAGAAAATAACTTATAAAAGGAGACAAATTTTACTTTAAAATGTTGAAAAATTAGGTGACAAATTAAATACCAATTTTGAAAATACTTAAAAGAAAAAAACACATCAATTTGATCACGGGAAATAACATAGGGGATTGTTGCTATGATTTTTGTTTCTATTTTGATAACAGCGACAGTAGGTTTGTAGAAGAAGTTTATGCAGTGGACAATACTGTGATAAAAGTTTGTGGTTCGTAATTAAGGCTTGCTGTAAATCACAAACGTTGTGCGTCCTTTAGCCCTTATTTATTCCCTACTTAAGGTCCGAACCAATTTGTCTTGAATTGATAGATAAAAAATGAAGCATCTAGCATACTTCATTAATTAGAAAAATCTTCTGGCATACTTGAATCAACTACTTCCATTACTGGCTTTGCTCCTCCTCGTCGGCTGCCGCCAAGCGCCAATCCCACTCCATGGCTCCGACTTCACATTTTCACATAGAGACGCCGCTAATCCGCCACCATCGAACACGGACCACCATAGCCACTAAACATCGCTGGTAAGGGTTTTCTTTTGAACCGATTTCTAAGAAAGAACACGATTCTCTATTTCTACAATTGCATTTTTCTTTTTCAAGTACTTTAATAATTTTGTTGCAATGTAACTTAGTTGGGTTTTTTAAATCCGTGTTAGTTTGATTTGTAAACGCTAATTTAAAAAAATATAAAAGAAATTACATCACTAATCACTTTTGATTTTTGCAGTGTTGCCACTTTTTGTTCAATTTGATTTTGTGACTGCCCTGGTATTATCAAATCAAGAAAATAATTGGTTCTATTTATTTAATTCAGATCTAGGGTGCTGATGTTTAACGAATTTCTGTTTTGTTAATATATCAGAAGTTAACTAATTTTAATGGATATGTTATTTATGTTGTTAGTATTAGTTTTGATGCTTAAGTTGCTACGTGAAGCAAGTGAGAATCCTGGTTGTCCTTTAAATTTTTATTTTTATTTTTAGTTTGTGTATATTATTCTCAATGCTTGATTAGTTTACTAATTTTTGTTACAATTGATATGTTTCAATCATAATGGAGGGCCAACATATGAAGAAAAGAAAGACTATCAATTCGTTCTTTAAGTCGAAAGAACATACGTCGACAAGTCGAGATCGTCATTAGATGTTGCCGCCTCTATTGATAGGAGTTCTATTAAACTTGACCTAGAATAAATCCAATATGGAAACTATGAGACCGGTAAGGATCTTGTTATATATAAGTTACGAATTAAACAACAACCATAAACATATGCTCTGCAGATACTAAATGTTTTTTTTTTTTTATATATAAACATCCCAGATTGGGATGGGGGTTGAGGCTACACCCCAACCTGTGAATATAATGCCCAACAAGGCTAAAAAGTCAATGGTATACATCCAAGTCGGGAATACAAAGAGCAACATCAAAAGGAGAGAAAATAAAAATAAAAATAAAAATAAAAATAAAAATACAAGGATCACAAAATATCCGCTGTGGATCTAAAATCAAATCCTCATAAAAGATCATCCCGGTCAGAGTGACCTGGCATGGAGTCCACAATGTCATATCTAGTCAGGGGCAGGAGGTGGCGGTCGACCAAATCTGAAGGATGGGTACTCTAACTGGTCCATCTGAATGAGCGTCCGAAGCCTGAGGGGAATATCCTCAGGAAGAAGGGTGCGTCTTTGGAGTATAGATGCCCCCGTGCTAGCAAGGAAATCGGCAGGCCGGTTCCTCTCTCGGAATATGTGTGAGACCTGGTAATGGATCGAGCGGAGGGTGTCTCTGATATGCATAAGGGGATGCTGGATCTGCCATGAGCCCTGGTGGCCAGATGTCAAAAGTGTGATGACAGCCGCAAC